TTTATTTTTACAGGTGGCACATGCCTGTAGTCCCAGCACTTGGGAGGTAGAGGCCGGTATATCTCTGTGAGTTCAAGGCCAGCCTGGTCTACATAGTGAGTTCCAGGCTAGCTGGGGCTACAGGGAGACTGTCTCAAAAAGACCAAATAAAATAAAGTCTAAAGAAGAGCATGGTGGCCCATACTTGTAATTCCAGCACTCAGGAGACTGAAGCAGGAGGATGGAGATTTCAAAGCCAGGCTGAGCTACATAATAAGACCCTGTCTCAAAAAATCCAAAAATCTTAGTTATGTTTATTTATCTAAATATTTATGCTTGTCCCCTGCCATATTTAGCTTAGCTGTCAACTTGACACAACAGAGTCACCTGGGAAGAGGGACCCTCAACAGGAATTTCCTAGATTAGACTGGCCTGTGGCCATGTCTGTGGGACATTTTCCTGATTGTTATTGATGTGGGAGGGTCCAGACCAGTGTGGGTGATGCTATCCCTGGGCAGGTGGGCCTGTACCTTATAAGAAAGGTAGCTGAGCAAGCCAGGAAAGCAAGCCAGGAAAGAATGTTGCTCTATGGTCTTTGCTTTAATTCCTGACTCCAGGTTCCTGCCTTGAGCTTCTATCCTAGCTTTCCATGATAATGGACTGTAAACTGAAATACACCTTTGCCTCCCCAAGTTGCTTCTGCTCATGAAGTTTATCACAGCAAGAGAAAAGCAAACTAGAACATCCCCACAGACAAATGCTAATGCTACTCTCAGCCTTAATCAGAGAAGCTTCTCCTTGTAATGAACACCAGTGAACGCAGACTCACGTACAAGATGCTAAGAATAACTGAAGTTGGGGGGTAAAGGGAAAGAAGGAGCTCAAGAGAGGTAAGACCATAGGGGAAAAGTATTATCAAGGGAGAAATGAGGAAAATGGGAGCAGTTTAAATGGGGAAATCATGGTGGAAGGGTTAGACAGTGAGAGAGATAAATAATGCCTAGTTTTAAAAAACCAGAGGGAACCATATTAGTCCAACAACCTACTGACAAATTATATATACAACTAGTTCAAGGGACAAAATATCTATCTAGTTGAGGTTTACCTGAGAACATTTGGTTTTTGCCCAAGCTTTATCTACATAGCACATGGTAATTAAAAGTACCAGACTGGTGGTACTAACCTTTTTGGATGTTTAAGAGCCATACTTTGAGGCCTATACTAATCTGGTTAGAGGGACTTAAAGGACAGTTTTTGCTCCTTGCCCTCCAAGGTGGACTAAGTTCCAGTGGACAATGGAGCATCTCTAAAAATGTCCTGGAACTGTGGTGAGTCACCTGTCCTCTTGTTTAGGGAGGCCATGGAGACCTCACCAGATGGACTTAAACCAGTGTCCAGTCTACAAAGAGGAGGGTCAACACAGAGGAAACATTTCCTCCATGCTTCCAAGTGAAGCCAGCCACAGTCAAACAGGACCTTTGACCTATCTTCACATAGATGGAACTGGTCAAAGAAAGGAGCCAGGGGCTCCTTCCAAGCCCATGTGACCCTTGAGGAACAGATCCTCAAATAACCTTAAGAGTAAAAATAAGGGGGGCTGGAGAGATGGCTCAGTGGTTAAGAACACTGGCTGTTCTTGCTCAAAGGAAACATTTCCTCCATGCTTCCAAGTGATGCCAGTCATGATCGAGCAGGACCTTTGACTTATCTTCACATAGATGGAACTGGTAAAAGAAAGGAGCCAGGGGCTCCTCCCAAGCCCATGTGACCCCTGAGGAATAGATCCTCAAACGACCTTAACTGTAAAAATAAATTGATTTATTTGGGCCAACTGTATGGTCTTAAACACCCAAAAGGAAAGAATAACCAAAGATTAAAGTGATCAGTATATTTCTTTAAGAGTCCATGTATACAGCTAAAGGCTACATAACAAGAAAACAGTGCCAGACAGGAGATACCGTCCTTTAAGTTGTTGGACAGGGTGGTCCAAGAGACTCCCAAAATTACTCAGCCTTTTCCCACAGCCTTTGATGGCCTCCCAGAACCTGAAAGTAAGACCCTACTGCCCAAAAGAGAACATACATCAGACAAAAATTTGGAGAACTAGAGCTGCAACTGACCTGGAAGCTACTTCCCCTGAAGGTGAGCTCTCATAGCTTTGGAGAACGCTATGAAAGTGCCAAGGGAAAAACAGATGATCCAGCACCAGCTTCAAGACCAAATAACCACATCAACAGCCAGCACAGCATATTCCACTGGTACAATAGTGGTACTTTTATCTTGGGGACAATCAACAGCTACCTGATTTGACTAAAAGCCCATTCAAAGGGAGGAAACTCAAGTGTGGTACTGTAACATAACCTAATACACATGGCCAGAGTGGTCACAGATCTTAGAGAATACCCCCAAACTCTCACATCACTAGACTAATGTGACTTCTTACTATGTGCAAAATATGTATCCTTATATTTACAAATATCCCAGTCACCACTCATCAAAGAAGCTCATTTTGCAGCAGAGACTAATACCAAGTACCACAACTGGTCACACACAGACATTGTCTATGAACTGCCCAGGCCTAAGGGATGCATCTGCAAAGAAACCTCTACACGTAAGGCTCATGGAACACAGAACAGGGATAAAGAAGAGGACACTAATGAATCTCTCAGTTCTCAATAATGAAGCTCCTCATGCAGTGGAGGGCCAGGAACACAAAAGATCACAAATGGCCAAAGTGTAAAGATCAAGAGTCTGCTAAATAATGGTCCTTGGACAGGACCCTTTATTAAACTTCACCCACCCAAGGCTCAGGAACCATCACAGAAGAGGGAGCAGAGAGATTGTAAGAGCCAGGGAGGATGGGCATGACTATATGGAAACAAAGTCCTACAAGCTCCTGGGAACCTGCTCATATGATTCTATGACAAAAGTGTCATACAAGTATACAAGTCCCATGCATGTATACAAGTCCCATGCAAACTCAGGTAGACACTAACCCAGCATAGAACTGAGATAATGAACCACAGACTCCAATCTTATCTAAAGGAATGTTGGCAAATGATTTCTGCTAGATGAAGAAGAGCTGATCTTCCTAAAACAAGGGACTCTAGATAGACTCAGTGGATGGACTTGCACCGGGGAATGGCTGGGGGCACTGACAACACAGTGGGCAGTAAGAGGGATGACAGAGTATATGAGCTCCAGTGGTGGGGGGAGGCTATGGGAGGGTGCCATTTGGGATGCGGGTATAAAGATGAATAAGACTGTTGGGGATGTTCTGTATGAAATACACACAAAAAAATCAGTAATAATAAAATAACAACTGAAGTTGAAGGGCTCAGCCTGCAACAAGACATTTCTACCACCTCCTCTAAGGCTCAGGAACATTGCGCCAAAGAATAGGCCAGAAGAATGAAAGTCAGAAGATAGGAAGACAGGCTAGGAAATGCCATCTTCTAGGCAGGACATAGTCACTGTGATCATGAACTCAAGCAGCTGTGCTTAAAGGCACCAGGCCTGCATGAGACTTGTCCTACTACCAGTCAGCCATGGAAGGGGGAGAGGCTTGTGGGGCCTTCACATCTTTCTGCTGAACTATGAGCTGCTGACATTTTTCTGGGAGAGGGGGAGTCACTGTCTTCAGCTATATATCCACTGGCTAGTCCATCAGGCTCAAATAGATAGCTCCAAACAAAGGGTCACATAGATAGCCCAGGTTAAACTCAATGGGACACAAAACAAAACAAAAAGTCATGAAGTATGGGGAAAAGATTATTAAGGAAGAAAGGGGGTTGGCAGGGGTGTGAGGGAGAAAAAAAGAGGGTTGAGGGAAAATAATCAGAATGCATTATTTTACATCATGTATGAAACTGTCAAAGAACAAAATTAATTAAAAACAAAACAAAACCCCACGAGCAACAATTCCCTATTAATTCCGGGATAGAGGGAGACGAGAAAAACTATGGGGCTGGAGACAGTTTAGACTCTAGACAGCAAAATGTGTGAGGTGAAACCTCACCACCCAGGCTGGGGGTCTCTTCCCACCCATAAGGCATCCTCCTTCCCTGTGAGCAGGTGAACACATGCCCAACAAAAGACTGGGAAACACATGTCCCCAGAGACTTAGAGCTGTGAGAGGCCACAAGGGCCCCAAACTTCCTAACAGTAAATCCGCTTGCCCACTCATGTAACTTCATTTTTGCTTTAAACAGCACAATAGGACTGCTTATTCAGTGTGGCCTGATCACCGATGTGCACCCTCAAACCTGTTTATATGATATACCTCCGATGCTCAATCCAACCCAGAAAGCGTACATGAGGAAGGAAGAGAGTTCGCCCACTGTCATGTGGGCACTCCCCATCAGCAGGCCTCCCTTGTACAGTACGGACAGCACGATCAGGTTTCCCGAGAGCCCGGCCTGCCAAAGGAAGAAAACAGAGATCAGCAGGACCAAAGTCTCAGGACATGAAAATATGAGTGAGGCCTCTGTAGTCCTTTTCACATGTAAAATCTCATACAAAATAGTTTTGAAGTTTTTGCAACAGTGAAGGAATCTCTGAAAGGCTAAATAATTCGTGCTCCCTCAGACTTTTATTTTCCCGATTTACTCAGCATGCAAAGGAGGAAAGTGACATGGAGGCCTCCTTAACTGAAGATATCTCAGTCTGCTGTGTTCAGGCCCCACTCCTACCTTGGGAGCTGTAGGTCCCTGGTAAGGACTTCTCTGAGCTGCTGCTTACCAATCCATTAATCCTGGCTGTGACTGAATCCCCGGGAAGTCTTCAATTTGGAAGGATATGCCTTAGTTTTCTTTTTTTTTTTTTTTCTCCCTGGTTTTTGTTTTTTGAGACAAAATGTCACTATGTAGCTCTGACGGGCCTAGAACTCATTATGCAGACCAGGCTCGCCTCTAATTTGCAACATTCTGCCTGCCACAGCGTCCTGAGTTTGCTGAGTACACATGGTGGTTTTCCACTGAGGCCCTATTAGGTATATTGTGACCAGTTGTACTTTCTTCTAGAATGAACTGAAGTCATTACATTTAAAGAACCTGGAGGGCTGTGTGAACATAGGTAGTGGCCCAGCCCCAAGGTCCACACAGCATAACTATTCAACACCAATGGCTCATAAAGCTGTGTGGCCATGCACTGGGGGCAAGCACCCAAAACACACACACACACATACACACACACACACACACATACACACACACACACTTTTTCTCTGATCCCACTTACTTAAGTCATTCTTAGACTTGAAATAGGAAAAAAAAAGTTCAGAATGATCCACTTACTGCTCCAAAGAAGCCAGCCCGAGCAAAGGCCTCCTTCCGCGCTAGCTGCAACAACTGGTCTACACGGCTGGTGTACTTCTCCACTTCTGTCATCTCCTTTCCAAAAGCTCTCACAGTTCTCAAGTTTCCAATGCGCTCCTCTGCTAGCTGTGAGGAGACAAACACATGGTGAGGGAGGAGCATCACATTGCAATCTATAGCAAAATTAAGATGTTGTCAACAGAAGGTGATACATGGTAAAATCACAGAGCCTTGTGTAATAACAATCCACCTTGCTGTCAAAAAACATACACTGCAGAGCTGGAAAGATGGCTCAGCAGTTAAGAGCACTTGTTCTTACAGAGAACCAGAGTTCAGTTCCCAGCACCTACATGGCAGCTAACAACTGTCCATAATTCCAGTTCCAGGGGATCCAACTCCCTCTTCTGACCTCCAGGTTCAGTTCCCAGCACCCACATAGCTGCTAACAACTATTCTTAACCTCAGTTCCAAGGGATCTGCACTTACATAACTGTAGGCAAAATACTCATACACATAAAATAAAAATAAATGAGTGTTATGCCTGCAGTTATGTAAGTGCACCCATGTTGTACAATGCCCTCAGAAGACAGAAGAGGACAACAGAATCCCCTGGAACTAGAGTTATGGACAATTGTTACCAGTCATGTGGGTGCTGGGATTTGAACCTGGTCTTCTGCAAGAGCAGCCAGTGCTCTTAACTGCTGAGCCATCTCTCCAGCCCCATAAAAATAAATTAAAAAAAAAAAAAAGTTAAAGGCCAGGTGTGGTGGTGCATGCCTTTAATCCCAGCACTTGGGAAGCAGAGGCAGGTGGATGTTGTCTGGGAGTTCAAGGTCTGCCTGGTCTACATAATGAATTCCAGGTCAGCTGGGGCTACAGATATGCCGTTTCAAAAAAAAAAAAAGGTCAGCAGCAGAGAGAAAGACGTACAAAGGCTAGACTCCAAAACATTAATGATACTAATTCTGGATTAGCCACAAGTTTTGGATTATCTGGAATTGTGAACAAATAGAATTGTCCAAGTTTTTGTCTTTTAAGATTTTCATATTTTCAATGACTTTTGCAACATGAAAATACAAGCTATTTCTGAGTTTAAAAAAGAGAGCACTGCCCAGAATGTTTTACTGAATTAATGAAGGGCACAGTGTCAACTGGAAACTATTTCAAAAGTATGTTAGCTTCTGTTTGTTTCTATTTTTGTTTTTGTTGTGAGACAAGGTCTAGAGTGGTAGCCTAGGTTGATCTCAAACTTATGATCCCCCTGCCTCAGCCTCCGGAATTCTGGGATTATAGGCATGCCTCACATACTGGGCCATATTAGCTTTTTGTCCTACCAGGAGCAGTGATAACAAACAATAAGAAATCGACACAAGAAAGGTATGGCGCTTATAACTATAGTTCTAGCACTAGGGAGGCTGAGGCAGGAGGAGTTCCATGAGCTTGAGACCACAGTGGACTACATTGTGAGTTTGAGGCCCTCCTGGGTTATAAAGCAAACTGGACTAACTGAGGCAAGTGACCAGCCAGATGTGGAACACTTCAGGTCTGTACTCTGGGGTCCAAAAGGAGAAAAGGAAGGTACTTTTTCAGTTTTTGGTTTTTTGGTATTGGGGATGGAATGGAACAGAAGGTACTTTCTAGACAGTTTGCACATCATGATCTGCCTGCTGCTTAGTCCCTTCCCTGGATACCTACACATGAGAGGTCAGTACCTGTGTGGCTTGTGCCAAGGAGTCCTGAGTGGCTTTGGACAGTTTCCGCAGATATCGACCATATATCACTGCAAGGATGGATATTGGAGGCACGACACTCAGAACAAAGGTGGCCAGACTGGGCGAGACAAAAAACTGTCAAGATAAAAGTCGAGAGGGTTTGTTCCATGAAGTAACAAGGCATTCTTGGACCTATAGCGTGCACAGAGGCAGGCTGGAAGGCACTGTTTAGATTGGACTTTTCTGGCATCTCTAATCTTTATAAAACCAAAGAAGGTTGGCGTGGTGGTGCACGCCTTTAATCTCAGCACTTGGGTGGCAGAGGCAGGCAGAGCGCTGTGAGTTCAAGGCCAGCCTGGTCTACATAGTGAGTTCCAGGACAGCTGGGGCTACAGGGAGACCCTGTCTCAAAAAGACCGAAAAAAAAAAAAAAAAAAAACCAAAGAAGGTCAGCTTGCCACTGAGAACTGTGGCTAGAGCTGCTGAAGTGAAGACAAAGGTAGTCCATCCTCAGACCAATTCTAATGTCAGACTACTCTTCAACAGCAGATCCTGGGATGGGATGGGAGTCCAGCAGGAAGGCCTATTCTGCTACACTGGTCAGACCACACCATGAGTTCTGAATTCAGGTCTGATCACGTCAAGACCCTTTAGTGACCAGAACCTTTCCCATCTCAATGGCCAAGTTATGTGGTGACCAAATCATCAAAATGCTCTACATCATATACAGCTGAAACAGTGCTCTGGATGCAACTGCCACTGGATGGAGGGAGGTTTCCATGGTTCAGCGGTTTGGAGCCAAAGGACAGGGCTGGGTCAATGTGTAGAACAGCTTCTAACCACAGCACTAGCTCAAGGAACAAGCAGCTCTAGAGGTAGTAGAGGTTTTCCCAATTCTGCAATGTGTGGTTACTGTTTTTTTGAGACAGGGTCTCCCTGTAGCCCCAGCTGTCCTATGTAGACCAGACTCACTATGTAGACCAGACTGGCCTTGAACTCACAGAGCTCCGCCTGCCTCTGCCTCCTAAGTGCTGGGATTAAAGGCGTGAGCCACCACGCCCGGTTTGTGGTTACTGTTTTAAATGGTACTAGTGGTTCAACACAATTAAACTCTGCCAAATTCATATGCACAGAAAATAATACAAAAGGTCTTTTTTTAAAAAAGTATTTTATTATTTTTATGTGTATGCGTGTATTGCCTGAATGCTGGCAAGTGCACCCGTGTCATGCAATGCCCGCAGAGGACGGAAGAGGCTATTGGATCCCCTGGAACTGGAGTTACAGACAGCTGTTAGCTGCCATGTGGGTGCTGGGATTCGAACCCAGGTCTTCTGCAAGAACAGCCAGTGTTCTTAACCGCTGAGCCATCTCTCCAGCCCCACAAAAGGTCTTCTAAAGCACTATGGTAGCATTGCAGACCACAGTCTAATGGACAGATCGACCAATGGCTCACCCATTTTCTCACCCTCAAATCCTGGTTCTGCTGGGTGATAAATAAGCAGAAACTGGCAATGTCTGCTTCTTTTCTATAGGGTGCCCTTCCCCCCTTTGGCTTTGTTTTGTTTTTGTTTGTTTTTTGAGACAGGGTCTCCCTGTAGCCCCAGCTGGCCTGGAATTTGCTATGTAGATCGAATTGGCCTTGATTTCACGAGGATGGCCTCTGCCTCCCAACTGCTAGGACTAATCATATGCACCACCACACCTGGCTTTTTCTTTTTTAAAACACAGAGTCTCTGGGCTGGAGACATGGCTCAGCGGCTAAGAACACTGGTTGTTCTTTCAGAAGACCGAGGTTTGAATCCCAGCATCCACATGGCAGCTAACAACTGTCCGTATTGCACAACACACGCGAACTTACCTACATGCAGGCAATACATGCATACACATAAAATAAAAATAATAAAAAACACTGAGTCTCGTGTAGCCCAGGCTAGCCTCAAGATTGTTTATGTGTTCAAGGATGACCTTGAATTTCTGATTCCCCTACCTTTACCTACTAAGTTATGGGATTACAGGCACACACCACCATGCCAGGTTTATGTGGTACTGTGGATTGAATCAGAGCTTAGTGCATGCTAGACAAACATGCTTCCACCCCCAGTAGAATAAATGATATCCCTGACCCTCCTTTTGCTTTCTGAGTGTGTGACATGGATCACATTCACAAGTTGTGCTGGGTTCCACAGGCCAGCAGAGCTGCTCAGATCACAAACACCGCATGGAGAGTGAGGCTGCATGGAGAGGGAGTTGAAATGTGCTGAGCCCAAAGAAATGGGCAGCACAGCTGCAGAACACAGGCCACTTTGCAGGAGCACAGTCCACCAGACACAGAAAATGAAGTCTACACCCCTTCAACCTGCCACTCGGTTCCCAAAGGGGCTCCTCCATTTCACATTCTTGACTATCTTCACCCTCTGGTCTCACATGTCCTTGGGAGAAGCCACTCTCCCAATGACACTCCAGAGAGCAGGCCAGACTCAAAGAGGTGATCTCAATGCCTCAGTCTGGGGCAATGTTCTTGGTGCTGTGTGTTTAAAGAATGTCAAAGAACATCTTACTTCAAGCCCCTCAGGTCTGAAAACTCTGCCCTGATTGAAAGCGCCAAGGGGAGGAGGCTGACATACCATCATGCCAATGCCAACAGAGGCCTGGGCCACAGCCCTCAGTCCATCAGAGAGGTTTTCAGTCACTGAGCGCCCCAGGAGGGCAGTGTCTGAGGAGAGGCGGGTAATCAATTCTCCTGTGCGGGTCCTGTCAAAGAAAGCAACCTCTTGCCTCAGGATGGAGGAAAATAGTGAGGTGCGCAGCCTGTTCACAATGCTCTGACCTGAAAAGCAAACACAACAGCTCACAGTGGGTGCAGCCATCCTGTCGGGCAGCCTCCAGCAAGCAGTTCAGCCTGGCATCAAATCTGGCTTGTGCACTGTGGCCGAAGTACAACAGCTCAGTAGATCCTGACATGAGAAGGGCTCATGCAGGCCCTGGCACGTTAACTTGGAGAGAAGGCTCAGCAGGTAAATTCACTAACAGCACAAACTTAACTCAATCCCCAGAGCCTCCATAAAGGTAGAAAGAGAGAAATGACTCCATAAAGTTTTCCTCTAAACTCACAGCATGAACCAATACACACTATGCCCAGAAAGCATATCACTGGTGGCCCTTTCCTGAATTGTACTTTGTAGTGGCAGAAATGGATCACCCACAGACTATCTTACTAGCTGGGAAGACAAGGACTGGGGTCCTAAGCTATCAGTGCTAGGGAAGTTCCCTACCTACTAACTAGGACTCTTCAAAGAAATGCCACTCAAGTTCCCATACCAGCAGCTACACATCATGGAGCAAGGCAGCCTGAGAAGTCAGAATGCCAACTTACCAGGGCCTTCTGTTAAACTCCCCTTAAGACAGATATAGCATCTGCCACCTGCTCAACCCCCACCACAAGGAAGTAGAGAAGAGAGTACTGGGCTGAGAACACTTACAATGCTATGCTGGCTGGATATGGGATCTGTCCCATTGAATGTTATTCCAGGGGCCTAGACTGGGGCCTAGAGCAGTGAAACTCGAAGTCCTGACATCACTCCAAGTCCCATGTCATCTTTGGGGTGACACAGCCCCTGGTGAGACTGACCTGAAGACTGCATGAGGTAGACACGGATGGCGTTGGCAGCAGCACCACACAGGAACACACCAGTGAGCCCCGCACAGAGGCGGGTCAGGCTATCGCTGTAGTCTACGCTGGGGTTGGTGTAGATGACATCGATGATCTTCCCCAGGAAGAAAGGGGCAGACATGGTGATGACACTGGACACAGTGAGGAACCCGACAGCAGCTGGAAGACAGGAGCCATACTCAGGCTCTTATGGCAGCAAACAACAGGTACCAAGCACATGGGGCCTAAGACCCATGCTGGCCTCAGTGGCAAGGAAGGCTTTGTTCCCCTTCATCAACAGACCAGAATAAAGGGATGACGTCTTTCAGGTGGAGGAAAAGGAGGGTAGCTGTAAGAGAGTACGTGTGCCCAGCCAGACAAGAGGACATTGTTTGCTATTCATTCCTTCCTTGCTAGGAGTACCTGAAGCCCATGGGGACGTCTGTCTGGCCTCAACAGTGTCTCACTCGGTAGCCCAGGCTGGCTTCAAACTCACTATGTAGACCAGGGTGGCCTTGAACTGTTGGTGATACTGCCTTAGCCTCTTGAATGCTAGGATTACAGGTGTGTACTACCATGCCCAGCTTAAAGTTCTTGATGCCTAGTATTTCACAGTCCTGTACATAATCTTTGGAGAGTGGTTCCCAGGATTCATTATACATGTAACATTATTATTATTTCTTTGTGGAATAAAGCAATATAAAAATTATTGTATTATTAGTATTATCGCTTTGCAAAATAAAGCATATGAAAAAAATCAAGAACACAACCGCCAATGTACCTGAACAACAAAGGGGACAGAGGTTTAAGAGAAAATTCTAAGAAAACCCAATTAAGAAGAACACACATCACAGACAACTGCATTCACAGTAGCAGGAATGTAAACAGAAACCTCAGGAGAGTCATTTTTCACTGATGGGACTGGCAAAAGTCACAGGGCTCACACTTCTGGTGAGGCTGTGGAAAAGAGGGGGGCACACACACTGGCACAGGTCAGGGAGCACGACTTCACCAGCACAGCTCAGATCATAAGTGAATACTCCCTTTGAACAGTAATGCCACTTCTGGGAATTTCACTTACATATTTCCATATGAAGTACAAAAAAAAAAAAAGATTCAAAGATGTACATTGCTTACACCAGTAAAAAAAAATCCAAAGTATCTGAAACACCAACCTACACAGAACAAGTTGAATCGCTTATGAAGAACTTACTTGATAAATATTAAGTAATTATGAAAAGAAATGAGGCAACTCTTTAAGAAATCTACATGGAACAATTCAGCATGAGGTACTGTTGAAGCCAGGCCTGGTAGGGCAGGCCTGTGATATCCAGGAAGGTGAGGCAGGAAGATTACAAGTTCAAACCCAACCTCAGTTACAGGGTAAGTCCAAGGCCAGCCTAAGCAACTTAGACACTGTCTCAAAATATGAAAAAAAGAAGGCTTGGGATGTAGCTCAGTGGTAGAACACTTGCCTAGCATTAGCATGTGTGAAATCCTAGGTTCAATCCCCAGTACTGTCAAAAACAGGAAAAGGAAGGAAGGGAGGGAAGGAGGGAAGAGACCTATTATTGGTTAAAAAAAAATAAGTCTTGGGGCTAGAGAGATGGCTCAGTGGTTAAGAGCACTGGCTGCTCTTGCAGAGGACCTAGATTCAATTCCCAGCACCCACATGGTAGCTAACAACCGTCTATAACTCCAGATCCAGAGGAACTGACCTCTACCAGCATTGCATGACAGGTATACTTGCATGGAGTGCACTATACTCATACACATAAAATAAAAATAAATTTTAGAAAAACTCCTAGAAATCTTTTTCCTTTTTCCCCTCCTTCCTTCAAGTTTACCTAAATATGGAATATTTCTGGAAGAGTAAAAGAAACTGGCCCAAGTTCCTTCTAGGAGAGGCTCTGGGTGACTGGCAGCTTTCTTTCTCTAGGTTTGTTTGGTTTGGCAAAAGGGACCTCTTAGGAACCTTGCTGGTCTATGTCAAGACCCCCTGGTGGACAATGCATCAGTGAGTCTAGGAAGCAGCTTCCCTGTCCCCACTCTGCAGAGGGCAGGGTGGGTGTTTCTCTCTCCTTAGGCTAGTATTTACATTTCAGCTAAAGAGATTATTCTCATATAGGCTTGGGAGTGTGGATGCAGTGGTATCAGGCAGCAAGCAGAGCTCTGGGAGGGAGGGAAGCTTTCAAGCAGGGAACAGGACTTGTGGTCTTTATTCCAAAGCCACTTCCTCAGAGGGCCTGCTCTGGGGCCTCAATTAAATTGTAGGCACTGGATACAGCTTCCTACTCTTCATCTGTCCTAGCTTCCCTCCTGGCATTCTATCATCAGCTCACTGTGTCAGGACATAAAAGGTCTGTGTCTGTTTTGCTAACTGCTGAAACTCCAATGCCACAGGGCTCAGCAGAAGATACCTGCTGAATGGATGAAGGAGGAGCTGGACTTTGAAAAGCCTTATCAGAGTAAAGTCCTTTGCAAGCTCAACAAGAAAGGTCAGACCCCGCCACTTAGAGTGTCCACAGATCAGGTTAAAAAAAAAAAAACATGATCGCCAGGTGTGGTGGTGCATGCCTTTAGTCCCAGCATTCAGGAGGCAGAGGCAGGCGGATCTCTGTGAGTTCAAGGACAGCCTGGTCCACAAGGCCAAAAAAGAAAAGAAAAATATAATAAAAAGTGAAAGAAATCAGGAAAAAAACACAAACTATAATCACAAGTTGGGTATACTGGCACACCTATAATTCTATCCCAGCTCAGGGTGAAGGCAGGAATATCAAGAGTTTAAGGTCATCCTTGACTACATAGGATGATTCAAGGTCAGCCTGGGCCATATGTCTTAAAAAGTCAAACCAAACCAATACTATAATCCCAATCTAACTTTATGACAATGTGCACATGGACAGGGATCATTTCCTTTCAATGTAAAGCTGGAGGACTTGTTCCAAAGCACCATACTCCCAAGGACAGTGACACGGCAGGGAGTATCTGACTCTGGTTCCACCCAGCTCAGCCCTAATGACCTGAGAGAGGTGCCAACCTGATGACTGAAGATCAGGACGAAATTCTCCAAGCAAGGTCAGGCTCTCCTCTCCTCTAGTTCTTTTTTCCCTTTCTAAAAGAGTATTTTGGCCAGGCATGATGGCACTCAGGAGACAGAGGCAGGCAGATCTCTGTTGAGTTCAAGGCCAGCCTCGTCTACATAGTGAGTTCCAGGCCAGCTGGGGCTACACGAGATGCTGTCTCAATAAATACCCCTGCCAGGCGTGGTGGTCCACGCCTTTAATCCCAGCACTTGGGAGGCAGAGGCCCAAGCAAGGTCAGGCTCTCCTCTCCTCTAGTTCTTTTTTCCCTTTCTAAAAGAGTATCTTGGCCAGGCATGATGGCACTCAGGAGACAGAGGCAGGCAGATCTCTGTTGAGTTCAAGGCCAGCCTAAAATAAATACCCCTAAAATTTTAAAAATTATTTTATGTGTTTAAGTGTATTGCCTGCATGTGTATAAGTGCACCCATGTCATGCATGCCCATGGAGATCAGAAGAGGGCTTTGGATTCCCCTGGAACTAGAGTTATAGACAGTCAGTCACCAGAGTCCTCTGCAAAAGCAGCCAGTGCTCTTAACCACTGAGCCATCTCTCCAGCCCTCATTCCCATCTTCTTCTCTTTTCTTCCTTCCCTTCATCTTTCCAGACAAGGCCTTGCTATATAGATCCTGCTGGTCTGGAACTCACTATATAAATCAAATTGCCTTGAAACCTGCAGTGATCCTCCTGCCTCTGCCTCCTGGGTGCTAGGATTACTAACTTGTGCCACTAGACCAGGTTTCTCTATTTTTCTAAATCATACAAAGAATCTCCATTTTATGTGATGCTCCTGGTTCCACCTGAGTTCTGACATAGTAATGATGCCCATACAAAGATGTTGTGGTGCACATCTAGAATTCCAGCACTCAAAAGGTGGAGGCAGAGGACCACTGCAAGTTCCAGACCAACCTGATCTATATAGCCAGCTCCAGGCCAGAGTTACATAAGGAGACCCTTTCTCAGGGGAAAAAAAAAAAAAGGTGAAGGGGGTATTAATAGTTAGCTGACTCCAATCTCCTCCAGGATATCCCATCAGGTTTACTCTTTTATGAGACAGGGTCTCATGTAGCCCAGACTAATTTCAAACTCTCTATGGAGGCAAGGATGACCTTAAACTTTGAATCCTTCTGCCTCCACCTTCTGCTTCTGAATGGTGGTGAGATTACAGGAATGCACCAATGCCCAGTTTTATGCAGTGCTGGGATGAACCAGAGTTTTCTGTGTGCTAGGCAAGCACTCTTGCTAGGCAAGCACTCTACTAAGTGTGAACTATACCCCAGTCCCAAGTTTATCTTATGCACCCTTTTAGATTATAAAGTGAATGTAAATAAAATCAAAGCTTTTCAGTTTTTGGTCATCTGGATTCTGGGATCAAAGCTCTGCCACGGGACTGTGGCATTTCAGGTTCTATTCCAAGCTCTGGACCTCAGCACACTGCAATTTGGAATTCTCCACCTTTCCCCTACACCACAGCTGAGCTCTTACTGTCCCCACCTGACCCGGAGGACCCCAGCAGCTTCTCTTGACTGACACTTTCAAGCATGTGTCCATTACTCTCTTTCCACTTTATTCCAGTGTTCAGAGGGGACAGACAATACAGACTGTGCCATAGGGTGTGGTAGACACTTAGCTGTGGGAGGTCAGAGGTTTGGGAATAGCTGGAGAAGGTCAGAAAGGCAGGAGACTGATAGGGCCAGGACTCCGCCTCTTCCACCACGCTGTCTGATCTAAAATGAATCATCCAATTCCTCCCTTCCTCAGTTTCTCCTTCTATAAAGGGCAATATAAGCAATACCTCCTTGTAGAGTTGTTGTGAGCAAATTAGGCACACACATAAAATATCTAGCACAGTGCCCAGTGCCTAGTGAATAAGAATGCCAGCTATATCCTTTGTTGTGCCTGTCATTACAGAAATGACCTGTGCCTTAGCTCAGTTCAGGGGGTTACACGGCTGTGCCCTCTCTGAGACAAAAGACCAAGAGGAAAGACAGCTACCTTGGGAAGGTGACAGCCGTTTACAGACATGCTGGGATCTGGGGAGTCAGGGAAGCATGTTCAGGGATGAAGTGGGCACAGGGTGGAAGGCAGTGGGAATGAAGGCTGAGGTCATGTGATCCCAAGTCAAGGGACAGAAGTAAAGATACAGGGGGGTGATGGAATAAAAGGAAGCAAAGCAGGAAATAGGGAGCTCAGGAGATGCCCAGACCCTAGAGTAGCCTCTACATCACAGTCTTGTGTCCTCACACTCTATCCTAGTAGACCACTGTCTTGCCTGGGTATGGGGAAGCCAAAGTTGTGGATGTTCTCCATCCTCTCCTCGATATATTCACTGTGTCCACTCCATAGGCATCTTTAAGAGACACAAACTCATTGTTCCAGCAGGCATCATGCTCTAAGACCCAGCACTTTTCAGCAATTCAGACCTGAATCCTGCACATCTGTGCTGTTGGAAATGCTGGGGGAAGTGGAGTGTACCACCATAGCCTAACCAATTCACCTGAATCTGTACTCCTGCACTGTTGGAAGTGCGGGGGAAGAGGAAAGAGCATACCACCCACAGTCTAACCACAGTCTATAGAAGCCGGCCCTGTGAGCCAACCAGGAGGCCCAGCATTCAAAGGACGGCTAGGCTGACAGCATCTTTTTGTGGCACAGCTGAGTCTGAGCCCTGGCCTCCTATTTGCCTCCAGGAGCCTGGAGAAGTGTCTCTTGTCTGCTCTGTACAAACCCTGATGCTCATAGGCTCAGCACCTTCTAAGGCTCCCTGTGGCCAAAGTGATAAGAAGAAGAGTTATCAGTATAAAAGAAGGGCAGGGCTGCAGACCTAGTGATAGCAAGGCAAGTGTAATCCTGAAGCAGCAGGCCGGGGAAGAGGAGCAATCATGCTGCCCTTGCCCTGGGCAAGGACTGCAGACAGTCCAAATAGCAAAGTCTTCCAGGAAACAGGCAGCTGAAGAGGAGAGAGAGAAAGAAGGGGCTACTACTGAAACACAAACGTACCTTCTGGGAATGGGATCTGTGGCTTTTCTTTTAACCTCTAAAATTAACAAACATCAGAATTTTTTCTCTTCTCTGCTTTTCAGAACTCTTTATAAGGGAATACAAGCATGGCAGCTCATGCCTATTAACTCAGCACTGAGAGTCTGAGGCAGGAAGACTGTGAGTCTGAGGTCAGTTTGGGCTATGAAGTGATACTCCACCCTATCTCAAAAAATGGAAACAGACACAAACCCACACAACTCATCTACACCTGCAGCATTTCAGAGACTTGCCAGTATCTGAGGCAGCTCTCAGCACAATCAGTTACAGATTAATGGTGACCCCCACTTGTTAATTCCACCAATACCAACATCCAGAATGGCTTTACATATAATGACTTCTGAAGAAACCATAAGCTGTATAAAGTGTTTTTCATCAGATTTTCTCAAAACAGTATGTTTATTACCTATTTTAAAAGCTTTATGAGCCGGGCATGGTAGTACATGCTTTTAATCCCAGCAGAAGCAGAGGCAGAGGCAGGCAGATGTCTGTGAGTTTCAGGCCAGCTGCTACTACAAAAGACCAAAAAAGCTGGAGGCTCACTCTGGCTACAGACCAGGACCCTGTCTCAAAAACAAACCCACTAGCATGTCAACTGCAGGGTATTTCTCAAATCACACATCTGATGTTTTCTCAAGGCAGACTGAAACGGCTCTGACCATGAAAGCTGGTGTTATTCTGCCTTGTTTAAGGCAGAATTCACAGTGAATTGGCATGGCAGGACACGTGGGGACAGGTAACAGGATCACAGAGATGACGGGCATGGGGCAGGTGGGGAAGGGCTAGGTTGGGCACCACTAACTTGCAAAGCCCGACTCTCTAAACCCTGACATCTGGTGTTTCAGAAGCAGATGCTTGGGTTCCTGCCTCAGCCCCAAACAGTCTGGGCCCACCCAGCTGCCCAGGGTCTCTAGGCTCCTCTGTATACCTTCTGCTCTGCCACACACATACACTAGGACTAAATACAGAAATAAATCAGACACAGCCTGTTTTCATCATTCATAACCCAGTGAGACCCACTGTCTCCCATCAAGATCTGCAACAACTACAGTCAACTGTGTCTCCTTATACCTAGAACACTAAGTACCCCAACTCCTGTGGCTGTCACATGCCCTTGCTCCACGGGCACCCTCCCAAGAGGGCAATTTGTATAGCAAGGGACTCAGCAAGGAACTTAGGGTCCTGACTGTTTCAAGTATGGTATGGCAAAGTCCTTCCTTTTGCAAAACCCTTATATCTATCTCCATTCCAGAGATTTCCCTGCCCGCTAAGCAGGAGCAGGACCCCAAGTGCCAGCGAGCCAGGACAGGGTAATCCCACAGGAGGGCAAAATTCATATTCACAAAAGGAATTAAGATTTAGAAAACCTTCAAGAACCTCTAGATATCAGCAGACCCTTGCTCCAAGCGTTCCTCAAATGCGGGTTAAAATGGAGAGTTATACAATACTACTATTTAGACCTTGTTTCAAAAACCAGTCACTTTGATTTATTTTTAAAAGTTGTTCAATCAAGACTCAGTTGAGTTACTGTCTTAGTTTCATTTTTCTTGGTTTTCCATGAGAGAGGGTCTCACCATGTAGCCCTGGAACTCACAGAGACTCACCTATCTCTGCCTCCCGGAGTGCTGGGATTAACTATGTGCGCCACACGATCCCCACAGGGTCTATTTTCCTATGCTGCAGTAAATGCGTGGTCCTGATTAAGGGGTCACTGCTCATCACCAGCAACAGCAGGAGCAATAGTATGGGGTTCACACTCCTCGGGTTCACCACATGAAATATTGCTGGCTGCTTGATACTGCCAATCCCTAGTGAAATTTTTAAAAATGCATAATACTCCCCGGGTGTAGTGGCGCACGCCTTTGATCCCAGCACTTGGGAGGCAGAGGCAGGCGGATCTCTGTGAGTTCAAGACCAGCCTGGTCTACGTAGTGTGTTCCAGGACAGCTGGGATTACAGAGAGACCCTGTCTCAAAAAGACTCCCCCCCAAAAATGCATAATACAAAGTAGGCATGGTCTTGGTAGAAATACTTTTTTTCTTAAAGTGGTAACCTCCAGCTCATTCTGAGAATGCCCCCAAAACACACGCTGCCAAGAATTGTGGGGACTGATGCAAAGATTCTGCAAACAGGCTCCGCTGACCTCAGACCGGGAGGAGGGGGCGCTGGTCAGTTAGGAAAACGCATCAAACTTCCCAACAGGTGCCGGTAGACCTCAATGCCCTCGGCCGCTCCCTCTGCGACCGGGATTGGCCCGCCACCCACAGGTCACCCTAGGCTCCAACCTGCCAGTCTCCCGCGCTCGGGCCGCACCAGCCCCAAGAGTTTCCAGGCCTCCGAGCGCCGGACCGCTGCGGGTCGCTGCCGCCGCTGCCGCGAGTCTTCCGTAAGGTCTCGTGCTCTGGTGGCCGCCGCGGGGCCGCTCCGGAGCTCGGAAAGCAGGGGATGCGCTGCGCGCCGGGACTCGGCCCACCGCCCCAGTGCGCGCGCCGGGCCCGAGCCTCCGGGCAGCCCTGGCGGGGGCGCTGGAAAGCCAGGAGCCGGGGTCCACACGCGGGCCAGCGACGTCCATGCGCGCACCAGCCGGGTCCACTCCGGGACTAGCTGAGTCCGCGAGCTCGCAGCCGGGGTCCACGCGCGTACCGCCGGACTCCGGCGCGCGAGAAGGAGCAGCGGCCAGGCAGGGGAAATGCGCATGGCGCCGCGTCCGCCCCGAGCGCTTCACCCGCCTGCCGGGCAGCGAACCCCGGGACCCTCCCGACCCGGCCCGAGCGCGGGGCGGGGACACCACGGATCCCGCCCCATCGGGCAGCGCCCGGGCCGCGCCCTCTGTAGTGCTCGGCCCACACTGGGCGGCAACCGGCCGGCGCCGGCCCGGAGCACCGGCCCTGCCCGGACCAAGGACCCCGGCGCTCACGCCTGCGCACTGTGCGCGGGAACTTTTTCGCGCTCCGGCTCTCTGGCGCGTGCAAACTTTAGGAGGCCGAGCCCTTTCTCACGCTGAAGACCGATGGAGCGCAGGCGCACAGTGTAGTGGTCGGGGCGCTGCACCTGGTCGAGTCCACCAGATGTGATGTGGCCTGTTCTCTTGGTTACCCTCTCAGAGCTGCACAGCCCCGGTCCTCTGACAGGGAACACTCGGCCGCTTAGAGAAGGTCTGCGCAACCTGGGACGTGCGGAGGTCCGGAGAACAGAGCGCGGCCCAGCGTGCAAGGAAGGGGAAGTGTTTGTGAGCTCATCGGTAATTTAGTGGATGAGAACGTAGTGCCAGCGGAAGGCACTCGACTCGGTGAAAAATGTGTGGGTTCACGAAATAAAAACCTCATCAGTAATTTAGTTCAGTGTGTCTAAAGCAAAACGAATGCAAAGAAAAATCCCTTAAGGAACAAAACACCAGAATTTCAAAGTGCAGACTCCGTTCCCGAATTTACAGGATTCTCCCTTCTTACTCTAACCCCAGACCTGGAAACGTTGTTTATAAAAATAGGCTGGGGGGCCTGGAGAGATGGCTCAGCGGTTAAGAGCACTGGTTGCTCCTGTAGACGACTCTGGTTTCAATTCCCAGCAACCGCATGGAGGCAGGAAGATCACCATGAGTTAAAAGCCAGCTTGAGCTACATAGAGAGTGCCAAGCTAACCAGATACATAGAGACTCTGACTCAAAAAAAATGAGCCGGGCATAGTGCATACACCTTTAATCTCAGCAGCCGGGAGACAAAGGCAGGTGGATCTCTGTGAGGAGGCCAGCCTGGTCTACTTAGTGAGTTCCAGGCTAGCTGGGGCTACCTGGAGACTTTGTCAGGAAAAAAAAAAAAAAAAAAAAAAAGGGCCCAAATGGCTCAGTGAATAAAGGCTCATACTGCCAAGCCTGACCACCTGAGTGGAAGAAGACTCCCACAGGTTATCCTTATACCTCCACATACCTGCCATGGCACACTCTTGCTCCTCCCCCACATAAAACAAAAATACTTAAAAAACAAATGAGCTGGCATGGTTGCACACATCTTTAATCCCAGCACTTGTGGCAGAGGCAGGCAGATCTCTATGAATTTGAGGCCAGCCTGCTCTGCATAGTGAGATCCTGTCAACAAAATAAAAGCCACCAAATGAATAAACCAAAATTTGAAAATCAGAGAACTAACCTGAAAATAATTACCCACAACATAAATATTAGAATTGAAAAATATTTCACTAAGGGGGCTAGAGAGGTGGCTCAGTGGTTAAGAGCATTGGCTGCTTCTGCAGACAGAGAAACTAGGTTTGATTCTCTTCACCTACATGGTGGCTCACAACTCTCTCTTAACTACAGCTCCAGGGAGCCAAATGCCCTCTCCTGGACTTCATGGGCACTGCATGCACATGGTACACTTACATACATGCAGGCAAAACATGCCTATACATAAAATATTTTAAAAATTTAAATCCCACTAGGCTAAACATTAATAAAGAATTCTCTAGTAATGGAGAATCTATAGAGAAAATATCCATAACTCTTAAAAAGTGCTGTCATTGGGCATGGTGGCACATGCCAGCACTTGGAGGCAGAGGCAGGTGGATTTCTGTAAGATAGATGCCAACCTGGTCTACACAGCAAATTCCAGGCTAGCTGGGGCTACAGGGAGACCCTGTCTCAAAAAGACTATACACACACACACACACACACACACACACACACACATAAATGTAAATTAAAAAGTGCTGTGGGGAGAATGAAGATTAGCAGAAGGGTCACGTGGATTTGTAGTCATCACATCCAAAGAAGGAGCAGGGGGAGGGGGAGGGGGAGAGGGGAAAGAAGCCACTTAGAGTCAGGCGAGTCAATACTACAAAAATCCCTGAGCAACACAAGGAAGGGTGAGAACAAATAAAAATTCAAGTCCTGCCCATAAGATAGGGTTCTTTGGAGGGGTGACTGGCCAGGGTGAGTTCTGGCCCTCTGTGAATAGACTTTTAATAGCCGTAGTGATCCATGGGTGTCAGATTCTACAGGGATCTCTAGAGGAAACTTGAGAGCAGTTTGGATTACATCCAAAGCAGTTCTACCTCCTGGGGCTAGATGTGTTCAGAGGACAGAGCAGACATATTGGGCAGGGTGGCAGTAGGAGTCAACAGTGCTCTGGTTTGCAATCTGGGGGTACTTTGATCAAGCTTACAGCTTGTCCTTGCAACCTGGAGTAGCAGCATGATGCCTGGAGCTGAATCATGCAGTGTGTGACTGCAAGTGGTAGATCCCACCATGGCAAAAGTGCTTTGGAAAAAATCCTCTGAAGCTTTTGGCAACTCTGCACTGTGAGCTTTCAGGGACTGCTGCAGCTAGACTTCCTTTCTAGCAGTGCCTTGAGCAGACAGCAGCGAAGTTCACTGAAGTATCATTGGCTTTTATATTCTCACCTTCTTCCAAAGAACCCAAAGAAGGGTTGTCATGGGTCGAGTTTTGGTACTTTCAAAGGATATGTTGAAGTGCTAATGTTTAGAACCTCTACATGTGACCTCACATGTGACCTCACCTAGAAATCAGGGCTTTCGGGTAGTTAACTTGAGACTGGTGGAAAAATGAACCCTCTCTCCCTAGGGATCTAGAATATGAAGGAGGAAGTATTCTTCAGTGGTCAACCTGCCTAGACCTCTCCTACTGGCTTAGTGTCCTTGTAGGAAGACAGCTGTGTGAAAACAAACAGTGAAACACACACACAACAGTGAAAGTAGAGATGGTCCTGTAGCTGTAAGTCAAGGGGAAGTAGAGAACCCCAGGAAGTCATGCAAAGCTGTGGGGAGACAGGAAGAACTACCTTGCGGGACTCACAAGTGGTGCTGGAGTCTAGATTTCTAGCCTCCAGAATCCCAAGGCAACATGTTATATCCTTTTATGTTAGGACACCAAGCCTGCAGTTCTTTGTTGTGGCAGTCCTAGCTAATGTATTCAAAAACAGCATCCACCGCCCATAGTGCCACACACCTGTTATCGACTGGCATGTTAATGTGATGAAATATATATTCCTTAACCAAAGGCAGTTCACAAACAGGTGTGTCCTTCTTAAATTTTTGAATTCATTGAAGTTGTTTTTATTTGGCTTTTGGTTTTTTTTTTTGTTTTTTGTTTTTTGGTTTTTTTTGAGACAGGGTCTCCCTGTAGCCCCAGCTGTCCTAGAACTATGTAGACCAGGCTGGCCTTGAACTCACAGAGATCCGCTTGCCTCTGCCTCCCAAGTGCTGGAACTATGTCCAGCTTCTTTATTTTTTAAGACAAGGTCTCCCAGTAGCCCCAGCTGACCTGTATTCTCTATGTAGACCAGGCTGGCCTTGATCTCACAGAGATTTGCCTGCCTCTGCCTCTGAGTGCTGAGATTAAGGGCATGTGCCACCATGCTTGACAATTTTTGAAATATATTTTTAAAAATATTTAATTCTTAGTTTCTTTGAGACATACAATGTATTTTGATCATATCCCCCTTCTTTTCCATCTCCTTATCTACCCAACTTCCTCTTTTGCTTTTTTTCCCCCTCTGGTCTAATTTGTGTTACCCACATAGTCATAAGTGTAGAATCTACCCTGGAGCATGGTTGACCTAACAAGGGTTATATAGACCCTTAAAAAAAACTGACTCTTCCTCTCCCGGCAGCTACAAATGGCTGAATGAAATAATAATGACAATTCACATTATGAAAACTGAATTCTTCGAAGAGACAGAAGCACTGAAGAAAACCCAAACTAAAGTGAATCAGGAAATAATAAAGGTTAAATGTGAAATTAAATATGAAAAAAAAGGGTGAACAGGGAAGAGAAGGTGGTTTAACATTACACTAGAAGCTGGGTATGATGGCTCACAACAGGCTAAAGTAGGATGGTTGTCAGTTTAAGGCCAGTCTGGGCTACATAGTGAGTTCCAGGCTAGGCTGACCTGCATAGGGTGACCTTGTTTATCTAAAACAAAGAAACAAAAAGTGGACTCCAAAAACAAAAGAAACAAAAAAGCTTATGTAATTCTGCAGCTAAATTAAATCTTGGAAAATAGTTTTCAAAAAGTTAGCAGACATGACTGTCTCATGCAAATATGAAGTGAAAATGTGCCTTATTGTTAAGTAATGTGACTTACTGTTAAGTAATAGTAATGTGATATATGGTTAAATAAGCAGTAAGGGACCAATAGATGGTGAGCTGATCGAGCATGGGAATAGGAATTCCCAATTTGGTAGAAGACCTTTATTTCAAATGTAGAACAAATTTGATACATTAGACACAAACCTAGTTAATTTCCAACATGGTACTACCTAATAAATTGAGGTTACCATTATCCTGAAATACCATTTGCTATCATTTGCCACACTGTAAGCTTTTCTTGTCTGTCTCCCTCTAAGCAGCAGAACAAACATGAGTTTCCTAGCAGGCCTGCAAGAGGCATAGATATACACAGAGACCACCCCCCCCCCCCCCCCCCGGCCAGCATTTCCCTGCTTTCAACCTCTGGACAGTTTATCTTAAAAATACATTTAGGGGGCTAGAGTGGTGGCTTAATGGTTAAGAGCACTGGCTGCTTTTGCAGAGGACCTGGGTTAGATTAGAAACACCCACATGGAGGGATCTGTGCCCTGTAATGGCCTCCACAAGCAATTGCACCTACATAGTGCACTTAACATACATGCAAGCAAAACATTCATATAAAATAAAATCTTTTTTTTTTTTCGGTCTTTTTGAGACAGGGTTTCCCTGTAGCCTGAGCTGTTCTGGAACTCACGATGTCAACTAGGCTAGCCTTGAACTCACAGAGATCTGCCTGCCTCTGCCTCCCAAGTGCTGGGATTAAAGGTGCCATGGCACCTTGGCAAAATAAAATCTTTAAAAAAAAATTAAGGGCTGGAGAGATGGCTCAGTGGTTAAGAGCACTGACTGCTCTTACAGAGGACCTGC